TCCTGAAGGGAGGTTCCAAAGAGGATGGAGAAAGGCTGTTCTCTGTAGTGACAGATGGCAGAACAAGGTGCAATGGTCTCAAGTTACAGTGGGGGAAGTCTAGGTTGGATATTAGGAAAAACTATTTCACTAGGAGGTGGTGAAGCACTGGAATGGGTTACCTAGGGAGGTGGTGGAATCTCCATCCCTAGAGGTTTTTAAGTCTTGGCTTGACAAAGTTGGGATGACTTAGTTGGGATTGGTCCTGCTTTGGGCTGGGGCTGGTCTCAATAACCTCCTGCTGTCTCTTCCAGCCCTAGGATTCTATGAAATAATGCAAACTAGAAAATACAATCCCAGCACTACATAAAAATAAAAGGGTCTACATTAGCTGTGGAGTCATTGGGGATAGTTCTTTTATAAACATCTGATTAGTGCTCAACAGCAGTCCAAAAAGCTAATAGGATGCTAGGAACTATAAGGAAAGAATAGAAAATAAGACAGAAAATATCATAACGCCACTGTACAAATCCAGGCAAGGGCAACAATATGATTGGGGTATGGAATAGCTTCCATTATGGATGTGAATGATTAATTGGTTAACCAGTAAACTTAAGGGGTGATTCTTACCATTTCTGGTGAACTGGTGGGTGGCTCCTGCAGGCAGGGAGGTGCTCCAGGCAGGGGCTGCTCTGGCCAAGCTAGAGCAGACCCTTTTTGTGCCAGGCATGGGCACACCACAGGCAGGGGCTGCTCTAGCCGGGCTGAACAGCCCTTCCCTCCAGTGCAGGAGGCAGGATGACAGGGAGGGGGACTCTCCAGCCCACCTGCACCCCCTTTATTTGGTTAACTGGTTAAATGTAATGTTTAACCAGTTAACCATTTAAAGGGGATTTTACATCCCTAGCTTCTTTATGAGGAGAGATTTAAAGACTGGAGACTATTCAGTTTAGAAAAGAGATGACTAAACAGAGGATAGAGACTAAACATGTCTATAAAATCATGAATAGTGTGGAGAAAATGAATAAGGAAGTGTTATTAGGTTCATAAATGTCTATTAGCCAAGATGGCCAGAAATGCAACCCCTTGCTCTGGCTGTCTCTAAACCTTCGACTACTAGAAGCTGGGACAAGATCTCTCAATACATTGCCCGGTTCCATTCATTCCCTTTGAAGCACCTGGCAGTAGCTACTGTCAGAGGAAGGGATACTGAGCTTGATGGACCACTGGTCTGACCCAGTATGCCTGTTCTTATGTTCTGAGCCTCAGAGCCACTAGCAGGAGCTCCTCCTACATGGGAGCATGTTGATCAACTAATCTTTTATGTAGCAGCAACGCCAACGCTGTAAGACTTGTTTTCCTATCTCTTCCTATCAGCAGGATGAGTTGGCACAGAAAGACCCTAGTGGAAGTATTTTTTCTCTCATTTTTACACATACTCAAATGACTGAATGGATTTTAATTTCAACTGTCCAGAGACTCTGACCTTTGGACTGAGGCCAAGAATGGAAAGTTTCAACCAAAAAAAGTATGTAAGAGAGCTCTGAAAGAAAGAGGATCACTGTGGAAGCGAAGTTGCACCCTTTCCTGTAATGGTCACAGCAGTATGTGAGTTGCTAAGCTGGTTTGCTAACCACTAAATCAAACAGGATATAGATTTATATGCATCCAAAAGGACACATGACTCTTTCTTTGGCAGTGGAAAGGGAAAACTACCTCCAAATAGATGTTTCTTCAAATCTTCCACTTAGCACTGATGCAGCAGTGGTTAGAAACAACGGTAAAACACTAATCACTATTCTATATTAGCCAGCCACAATTCTACCAGCAGCAGAGCTGTACCCGTGCTGGTGCAATGGTGAGTATTGTTAAGAAAAATGCCTAGAAAGAACCAGTTAATTCACCAAAAACTATTATTATACTCAATAAAATTGTCGTCAACCAGATTAGTATGTGAATTTCAGATAATCAAATATGAATTCATTCATGAAAGTGAGCGTTTACCAGAAAGGCCTAATTTTTTTATGAACACTGAATCCAATCCAGAAATAGAAAAAAACCTATTAGGCCCTGTGACCCATTAAGGTAGTGTCCTCTCTAGGTCAAATCCCTGACATTTCAGGATTGTGCTTTGTTTATTAACATTTTGCCCAGTTTAGTTTTAAAATGTTCCAAGTAAACAAGAGACGAAAATAATAGCTTGTTTAAGATTAAATGAAACCCTGTACAAGTCCATTCCTGAAGAAGACTACAGTGAAACTTTTTATGATTGTTACAAGGGCTCCTTTTTCAATAAACACACACTTGCCCAGCACAGTGTCCAGTGACAGCACTATATGCTCTTATATAAGAATCCAAATTTAGGTCCCACACATTAACTAGCAGGATGTGTTTCATTTTGGACCCAGTTATACCTCCATCGGTCACTAACATGAGAGTGTCCCCTCTTAATTACTCTAGAAATGTAGATCCACCAACCAGAGTGTAGTCACTAGTGTACTGATCTAGTAAATCCCTGATGATTCTTAACATCTCTTATGTTAGTGTCAGACTCCTGCTCGATTTGAAATTTACAAGCCCGCAATAACTGCCCGCATTTACACGCGGCAGTGAAACGGGCGTTCGAAATAAAGCCCTATTTCGAACTACCTGTTAAACCTCATTGCAGGAAGAATAACAACCCTGGGCTTGATTTGCAATTCCGAATGTCTACATTTGCAGCCCTATTCCGAAATAGGCTGCAAGTGTAGACATACTCTTTTCCGAAATAGGCTGCAAGTGTAGACATACCTTTTCTGGAAATGCTTAAAATGGAACAGTTTTTCCATTATAAGTATTTCCGGAAAAGCGCATCTACATTGGCAGGATGCTTTTCCGGAAAAGCACTTTTTGCGGAAAAGCGTCCGTGCCAATGTAGACGCGCTTTTCTGCAAAAAAGCCCCGATCGTCATTTTTGCGATCGGGGCTTTTTTGTGGAAAAGACTACTGTGCTGTCTACACTGGCCCTTTTCCGGAACAGTTTTTCCAGAAAAGGACTTTTGCCCGAACGGGAGCAGCATAGTTTTTCCGGAAAACTAATGACGATTTTATATTAGATCATCATTGCTTTTCCGGAAAAGCAAGCGGCCAGTGTAGACAGCTCGCAGCTTATTCCAGAAAAGCGGCTGCTTTTCCAGAATAAGTGGTCCAGTGTAGACACAGCCTTAGGGTATGTCATTATCATACATAACTATATACATGTTATAACTATATATAGTTATTTGATAAGGCCTTCTACTCACATAACTTTAAATGCTTTATAAATATTGAGTAAGTAAGCCTCCCCAAAGCTCTGTGAATAATGTATTATGATTTTCAATGGTGAAATCTACAGAGAGTGAGTTACCCAAGGTTGCCCAAGTCAATTCTAAAAGAGATATTAGAATTCATTACCCCTGACTCATCCACTACCCACTTGATAATGTGCCCTCTTGTGCAGTATTGCAAAATACTATTTGGCTGTCATTTATAGTGTGTACATGTAAAAGAAATACTTCAAGTCAACAAGGTTAAACAATGCCTGTATCTTAACTATGCACTGTGAGCGAGCACTGTGAGAGCACACAGTATTTGTGACCGAAGCCTTTTTTTCAACTTATTGCTCTCAATTATGACCCATTTTTGTTAAAAATCTTTTATGAATGAGTTCAGTAAAATGATGAAATTTTGTTTTTCAATGTAATCTCCTATTTATATCCATTAGAAACTTCTTAAACAGGCTCACTGTTTTCCTCCATTACAGTAATTTACATCCCTCTTCTCCAAGAATCACAAAAGGCTCCCAGAAACCTAAGTTTTATTCTTAATTTCTGTGAGAAAACTCTGAAATTACATCTAGCTATAGTGTATATTCCTTCCTGCTCGTTATTTTTTTGGATTCAGATATCCTAAGTGACACCTGTTTATACACGTGCTGACCACTGTAAATGTCTAGACTCTAGAATCATGGATTAAGAGGAAATGATTTTGCTAGTAAACTGTGGTTGTACTAGTGGAGTTACTTACACAAAGTCTTTGTATATATCTGTATAACTGCCGTCTTTATGTGGTATGAATAGGGTTTTTCATCAAAAAGATAGGCATTGCTTCTAAGGGTGAAAAGACATGGGTAGTGCCAGATTTTTTATCCCATTACACTAATTTCTGACCAAAAATGCTGCTTTGTATTATTTTTGTAACTAGTCACAACCAGCATAAAACTTGAATTCTTTCTTTTCAGGGATAGAGGACAAGAAAATTTCAGTTCAGTACAGTGAGCATAGCATTTAATTTCAGAAAGGGCATTTCCAACATCTGTTTACTTTGAAAAAATGTTGTTTTTATAGGATCAATTTCCATGCCCAGAATTCAGTCTTACCAGTTCCTTTCAGCCTGAATATGGTCTTTGAAGAATATTTGTTTTAAATATGTTACAAATGCTGTGACGTAAGAGAAATGATCACAGATATCTCTCTGTCATGAGACGTTTAGCACAAAGGCCTGTCATAAAAATCAGGAATTCTAATTATGTAATCTTACAATTTTTACAATATTAAAATCCATTCAAAGTCAGTTTAAAAAGACGGGATTCACTTTCCCCTTTTACTAAACCATTACATTCTAAAGGTCAGCTGCAATCTGCCTAGTTTAGCCTCATGAAAACAGGAACAACAGCACGAGGTCTCTGCAGGCTTGGATTTCCATCCCAGAACACGTGCACTCTGAGCATATAGTGGCCCTGGCTGCGCTGATTCTGTCGGGCTGCAGCTTCCCCTCCCAGGCTGCTGCAGCCACAGCATTGGCTCAGCTGCTAGACGGCAGGCAGCCCTAATCATCCTGCCTCCGCCACCACGGTGGCTGCAGCCTCACTGCCTCCCAGGCTGACGTGGCCTAGCCAGGCTTCTCCTCTTGGGCTGCTGTGGTCCTGGCCCCGCTGCCAGGTGGCAGACAGTCCCGATGGCACTGTGCCGAGGCTGCTGTGGCCCTGTTGCTAGCAGACTCACAGAGTTGCACTGGGCTCCCAGATGCTGGTCCTCCAGCCCTCGGGCTCTCTCATCCAGGAACATCTGTGGTCATGCAGGATCACGAATGTTGCCGGACAAGAGAATCCCAGATTTGGGAGGTGCAACCTGTAATGACAAAAAGGCGTCTGGTGGCACCGTAAAGATTCACAAATGTATTATGGCATAAGCTTTCATGAGTTGCAACATCAGATGCATGAAAGAATAGTATGGGAATTTTAACTTGCTCACATGCTCAAATAATTGAGTTTAAAATCTTAAACTCAAGTCAAATCTACACTTACGAGGAGAAATAAAATACTGCTTTTTTTTTTTTTTTTTTGCCAAACACAGATTGCATCTATCAAGATTAGCTGTCTAAGCTATGTGTGCACAAACAACTTAAATGGTGCAGGTTACTAAAAGTGCAAGTGCGCAGTTTTGCGCGCCAACAAGTGTGTAGTTTTATGCAGCCACTTTTAAAAACTAAAAGCTAATCTATACTTGGAAGTTCTGTTTACTGAATGCTGTGAATTTAAAATGCAAATGCTTTTCATACCATGCAGTAATCAGAAAGAACTTTCAAGTTTAGATTATCTTTTAATTTGTAGACACACTTATTCCAACATTAGAAAGTTTGATTGTGCACTCAGAGTTCTTGAGAGGGGCTTGGAATTTTAAAGGAACCACAGTCCTATTGAAATTCAATAGGAGTCAGGGCCTAACAATTGTAGGCTCCTTGGAAAATGCAGCCGAAATGTGTATATGTAAAAGTTACTTTAGAAAACATGCCCTTTCTCCTTTGGTTATTGAAGGCAAAAAAGTCAATCCACAACTGTAAAGAGACTGGGAGAATCCAATGTCATTGAAATAAAACTGCAAATGCAATAATATTCCAGAACCAATGTAAAGATCACGTATATATGAGATTATGCTCAAGTTCTTGTAAAACACCATGACATTCTCCTATGACATGAACTAGTTACTTTTTTGATCAGTAGCCGTAATTCTAGATTGCTGGTTATATCATGCAGAAGAGATACAGACTGGATTTAGCAATACAAAACAGGTGTCTAACTTTAGGCACACCTTTAGTTCCACTGAATTCTGAACTAGGGTCATAAATAGGCACCTGTGTGTTGTCCCAGTAACAATATGACATTTCAGCAATAAATTTGGGAGTTGGATTTAGGCAGCATTTCACTACTTCCATGATGCTCTCAAATGCTTACCCATGACAGCAAATAAAAACAAGCTCTAAATTAGCATCAAGCATGAGGGAGAGGTAGGGTATGTATGCATGTGTCTAGTCTTTATTTATTTCAAATGTAACTAAGCTCATTAGAGTACAAACAGTGTCTTCCTTTATATCCTATATACTAACCAGATGATGCATCTATAGGAACCTGGCTATGCATACAGCTTGGACAGAGATGACTGCTCTGTGAGACCTGAGCTGGATCTATTTTGCAGAGTTTAGTGTCCAGGGTTGTCAATGGAGAACTTTTCATCAGACCCAAGTTTTCTACAGAAATGTTTGTAATTAAAATTAAAGTTGTATGGACCAGGGAAGGAAAAGCAGCACCAAAAATAGGACCTCTCTCTCTCTCTGCCCCACTATTAGTCAGGCAAATTAGACAGATACACAATGCTACAGTCATGTGCAGATTCTTCCTAAAACACAGGAAAGAGAGGTTCTTCCCAAATAAATTTCCTGGAGTGTTTAAGGCCAGCTCACATCACATAGCCTTCTGACTGCCAGGAACTTCCCAGATTCACCAGAAAAAGAGAAACTGGTCTTCTGTTCATGTGAAAGCATCTATAAATAAATCCTGTCAGAGACTGAACTGAACAAACTAGCACATATAAAGCCAACATTTACCTTGGATAAGGGATACGTGTGAGAGAAAGACTACACTGCTGAGAAGTGAAACATAAAAAAATCCAAACACTTTTTCTCTCAAGCTTAAAAGGTTTCTGCCCAAGATCACAGCCTTTGAGACTGTGTCCCACCCTGATACACCAGGATTGTGGAGGCCTACTTTTCTCATTTTAGAAGCCAACACAAATCTATTCCTAGACAGTGGAATTTCAATGTCCTGGTTTACAAAAGTTTTTTCCCACATAAGCTCTGAGAATTTAACTAATCAGGGTCTGCAATAGGAAGGGGCTGGTGCCTTCTGCATCTTCCCTTCCCTCCAAACCTAGTATTTATCAGTCTCTCTGTTTGGAAATAAAGTATTTAAGAGACATTAATCAGATGAGTAAAGTTCTATTTAAAACTAGCAATGAATTTGTACCAGTATCATCAATTTCAATAACCTTACACTCCAGATTTCATATTCCTATGCGAAACTGATTTGGCTCACGAGTTTAAATCTATAATATTAGATATCTATAAAATACTACTGCCCCTCCTAACCTCATTCTAACCTGGAGCTGACCAACCAAAATGGTGCTGAGAGGGGGAATTAACCATTCAGGATTATTATAGATTACTTAATATCATACAGGCAGAGTAGACACTTTGCAGAAGTACATAAAGTCAGAGCAGGGATAAGAGGAGCTGGGGCAGCCAGCATTTCGGCCATGGAGGTTCTGAGTATAGACAATGCGGGCTGAGGGAAACAAGGCAGGGAGGTTTTTTAGCGGTGCAGAGCTGGAGGCTGTTATTGAAGGGCGGACAAAGTTCATTGAAAAGTCTGAAAATAATTCAGAGTGAAACCAGCTCTCCCTGGAGTACATCGACTACATCCCCAACAGGACATCAGCGCACCTCTTCGCCACTCCCCCTTTCTCAGGGTGTTTCCCCCAATGCCGGGGATCCCTGGCCCCTCATCCCCCGGGGGTGTCTTCCTTCTCCACTACACAAGAATCCCACCCGCTGCTCTCCCTGGGGCTCGAGCACGCTTCCAGGATGCCTGCCCCGAAGCCTTCCCTGGGCAGCCTCCTCGCTACTCCCACCGGAGCTTGTGCCCCCGCCCCGGGACACCCGCTCTCTCGGGGTGCCC